CAGCCAGCAAGCGCCTTCGCCGACGTTGTAGACCAGGTTACAAATGATCTGTGCAGTCATGAAAGCCGTGTTGACTCGGTTCGGAGCAGGCACCTTTGCACCATTCGCGTCGAGTTTTTGACCACGTAGACGAAGGATCAGATCCTTGGCCTCGAGATATGTGCCGATTATACCCCACATACGATTCATGGTGCGCCACTCACCCAACATGTTGGTGAAGCCCTGGATGTACTTGGACAGGTTGAGGGCTAGAGTAGCAAGAGGCGGCGCAGTCGCGGTAGAGAGGACGACCGAGGTCGAGGGCGGTAGCTTGAAAGCCATCTCGACGACCTTGCGAGCGGAGTGACGAAGAGTAGTCCGACCCAGGATGTTGAGAATAGCACCGATCAAGCGGGCGGTATAAGTTGTGAAGAGGAGGACAGTATCTGTGCCTCTTCGCGTCTGAATGACGCGGTTGAGATGTTCGACGAAGTCATCTACGGCAGATGGCGACTTGAGGAGTCGCGCGAGAGGACTAGATTTTTGTGCGACATTTTTGCTTTTGCTGTTGATGTTGATGTTGATGTTGGAGTTGGAGTTGGAGTTGGAGTTGGAGTTGAGGCTCCTTTCGATAGGCTCGGCCGGAGGTGCATCGGCGACGACGGGCTCCGCTGAGGGAATGACGATGGCCTCGGCGGGGGACTCAACTACAGCTGTTTCTGTTTCTGTCATGGCGGCGGGTGATTAGGGAGGGAGAAGCTCACGGTGAGCATCGAGAATATCAAAAGAAAATAGAACAAAAATAGAATAAAAATAACCGAAGACAAAAAACTTGGCAAATGGAGGTCAAGGTAAGTACTAGTAATGTAATGAAGAACCAAGCATGGTATGGTAGGTATGGCCTTACCTAGGTTATTAGCGGTCTCAGGGACGACGTGGGGACATGAATTTTTATCAATCAGTACATCTACCATGTACCTTTATCCTTTTCGCTGAGTTGACCGAGGCCGCAGGTGAAAACTCCGTAATCCTTAAAGGACCCGTGCCTCGGTAGTGGAGTTGGGTGAATGTGATTCGTGCGTAGGCCCGAGATATTTGCTCGGTACAGGCAAGGATGATGAAGCAAAGGATAGAGCTCGTTCGCTTATATACTCCCTATATTGTGATAAATGTAGCTATCGTATTCGATGTACGTATTTCGATTATCTTTGTTGAAGGTCTTTCGAATATCTGATTATACTGTTGAGCCTTGAATAAAACCCAGTATGGCTCATCGTTGAACTCCGACGGAACGCCCCGGATATGTGGAATGTCCAGATTAGGCAATTTTCTCCCGAAGCTTTCCTTTGTGACCAAAATGAGGCATTACGACATTCTTTCTTGAGAGTTATTCTTCAGTTGGAATAATAGAATAATATAGACTAGGCAAAATTTGACTTTTCCTTAACGTTTGAGACTTGTCGGGTCTATTTCCGAGTAAAACACATGCAATGCAATCTTGAGAAAACAAGAGCTACGGGTCGTGAACCGACCCAAACTATGGATTACACTGCGTGGTTGCGTCAGACCGACAACAACTTACAATTATGGATGTTTTGTTCTCAGATTCCTAGACTTTTCATCTTGTGATAAGTTGATGACCTGCTAAACATACTTCATGTATTCATGACAACCTCCATATCGGCAGTTTTCGAGTAACGTGACCTCGTGTCCAACCCGTGTACAGAATGTGGACGTTCGCGTACACTCTTTCTTCCTCCATCGCGTTGCTGCCTTGAGTTTACGAGAGTCAAATGCTTCACTTCAACCGAACTCGGTATCGCTTCAGAGCCCACGTGGGCCTGAACCTTTCAGCTGAAGTCCTTATTCAGCCAAAGCTGAGCTGAACGAGGTTAGCGGAGGCTGGTGCCTTATTGGCTTGGCAAGGGTCGATATTCTGCCTCTCTTTCCTTTACTATGTAACAACCTGCCTCAGTCTATATAAGGCCATGTTCAAGTCTTTCACTCGGAGTATAACGACATCCATCGCACGCTTCACAAGAAGCAACATGTCAACGCCTCAAGAAATCCAGCTCCCTGGCTTCGGCCTTCCCATCAGCTACGCTGGGGCTCATTTTCCAGTTGTCCTTGGGACAGAAGACGGGGAGGGAGAAGGGGACTGGAGAGCCAGCACTTTGACAATTCGAGAAGTCTGCATGATCAAAGTCATCGAGGACCTCACAAACAAGCCCGAGTGGTGGATCAAAGTCAATGATGATGAAATTACTGCCAAGTGGAAGAAGGAGGCTATGGAGATGCCATGGGGAGAGTATCGAGTATACGGTGATTTCACCCAGGCCATGGCCGATGCTGTGAGTGACATCTCTCAGCCAAAATACAATGGTCTCGCTAAACCACGATAGTGTATCAGGGAATTGCGCAAAAAGGCAGATATTTACCAAAAGACCGGCCTCATTCCGGTCATGGATTACGCTTCTGCAGCCATCAAATCAGATAACTTGGTCCCCAAAGACCTCCGAGATGCCCTCATAGCTGCCGTTTCCCCTTTGGAAAATGTTCCCGAGAAACACAAAGACTGGCATCCTGGCAGTGATGGCAAGGTGCTTGACATCGTCCACCCTTCGCTGTGGCCGCTTGTCTATGGGCGATCTCTCATCCTCCCCGACAAGCGCATTAATCTCGAAGAAGCGCTGCCGCATTGCGGGAAAGGCGTCGTTATCCCTGTCGACGACAGTGATGTCAGCAAGCGGCATCCTAGTGCCTTTTCTAAACGCTTCCAGTGGCTCCCTTGCGATGTTGACCTGACTGGCGAGCACCCTCGCATCGACAGCTACATCAACAATGTGCACCCGGTCAAACATGCCGAGCTCTATCCCGTCATTGAGAAATTCGTAGAGAAATCGCTGCCGGCTTGGGATGTCATCTATCGATGGCATAAGGACTTCGAAGTCCAACGTGTCTTCACGAACAATGTTCGACCAGATTGTAAAGTTCCCGAGATCTGCGGAGATGAGTGGTGTTCAGCCCAAAATCGGCCACTGGACGACGATGAGGAGCCTCGTAGAGAAGACGAGGACTATGAAGAAGATTACGAGGAATCTGATCGCAACAAACGCGATGAGGAATGGTTCAGGGAGACCCATGTTCCAGAACTTCCGGACCCTAAGACTGAATTGGAAGAGCTCGTCAAGATCGACCCTAGAGACGTAAAGACCTCTGGCTTTTTTGGCAACGCTTCTCGAGTACAGGTCATTGTCAAGCTTGCGAACATTCACCTCACCCCTGAGAAGCCAACCTACGATGGTGGTTCATGGCATGTCGAAGGCCAGTTGAATGAGCACATATGTGCAACTGCACTCTACTACTATGACTGCGATAACATCACTGATTCTCGCCTTGATTTCCGCACAGTTGCCAACAGAGAAGACCAAACTTTAGACCTGAGTTACGAGCAGGGCGATTTCGACAGCATCGAACGAGTTTTCGCGATTGATCCCGGCGCAGACACACTCCAGAACATTGGCAGCGTTCTCACACGCCAGGATAGAATGCTCTTCTTCCCCAACGTATATCAGCATCACGTCAGCCCCTTTGAGCTGGTTGATAAGTCTCGTCCCGGCCACCGCAAGATTCTAGCCCTTTTCTTGGTCGACCCTCAGATTCCTATCATATCAACTGCCAATGTTCCTCCCCAGCAGCGCGACTGGTGGGCGGAGGGGTTGCTCAGGAATGATCGCTTCAATAACTTGCCCCCCGAGCTGACACGGATGGTGGTGGATAACTTGGATTTCCCTATTGATCTGGAGGATGCTAAGAAGATCCGAGGGGAACTCATGGCGGAAAGGACTGGTATGCAGGGTACCCTTAACACCAACCTCAAGAATCTTGAGTGGAATTTCTGTGAGCACTAGGTAGCGAGTCTGTATGAACGGTCTGTTCTAGCTTTTCGTCATACCGAGCTCAAGGTATCTGGAACAGAGTTGTGCACTTGATGAAACCTCTTTAGGCGGAGTTGCTCTGGGGTCTATCTAGTCACAGTATATGTCAAAGCTATTTACGCAAAGATACAGAATACTACATTAATTAGTAGATTCCCGTATAAGATTAATCTTGATTCATTAGTGTGCCATTAGCTCAGATATGCCATAGGTCAACGAGTTGTGTGAGTCAGCTTCCAAACACCAACATGCGAGATTGGACTTGTTGGTGCCGATCTGTGCATGTTCCATGATCTGGTTTAAGCCCAAGCCTGATAATTAGTTTAGTTTTGATTGAAGTTTTACAGGTACAAATTAACCTTGAACCCTGAGCATCCATTGTCAAGGCACACAGGGATAGCTTCAGTATAACCGTGGGCTTCTCAAGTCACCCAGTGCATGGTCTCAAGAAGCAAATTGCTCAATGCAATACCCAACAGTGAATAAAAAGTACTGCTTTATTAGTATATTCCTTCCATGTCAGGGCGGTAAGAAAATAGACTGACGAGCGGATATGCCAAGCAGAAATCTACAAGGTTGATCCTCCATCTGCGGAGGATCAGACCAGAACCGGTAAGTTTGATGGGAGCTGACCCCTGACTATGGATACAAGTCAGGCTTTTTACACGAAAATCAGAAAAACCAAGAGATGCTTTGGAGGATTCAATAGGTTCCTGTCTGGGTTTGAAGGATTAAACGAAGGTCTTGGTTGAGTGAATCTGAAGTGGAAATCAGGGCTGAATGTGGAGTTTTGCTGGACCGAGCGTTGTCAAGGCGCAGTTATAGTCGTATATATCTGTGAACTCCTGACTTTCCCTTGAGAAGAGTTCTCTTGATTTTGGCTCTTTTGGCTCTGCCCTTTCTTTTTAAGTACTGCTGCTGTTGGCATCATCCTAACAAAGTTGTATACCCTCTCACTACCTACGCTCGTTACTCTTGAGATCGACAAAGGCTACCAGATACCCAGTCTTGGCTTGTCAGTGTAAGTAACTCAACTTATTGGGAAACAACATATAAACTCAGTATACTCCGTGCGGCATCATCATGGGCATCCTCGACGATCTTATTCCCAGGCCTACGGCTCCTCCAGCTACGAGAACGCTCAAACAACGAGCAGTAACTAGTAGCCAAACAACAACGGAAGAGATCACCATCACAATCGCCCCAGATAACACTTGTGGATACATCTCAGAACGACTTGGAGCCAGCAGAGCGTGTCCACTCAACGACTGGTGCTACTTCTTCCCACCCGTGCCAGCCCAATCATTCACAAACGGCGGTGTTTTATGCTGCGGAGAGACATCTTGTCAGTACCACGCAACATGTATCAACTCGGAGGAGTACTTTGTGTCGAGTAAATGCGATGGTGGTTGCGAGGTTGACAACTACACTCTGAAATGGTAACTCTCCCTTCTTATCATATATCATCAGACATAGATACTCACGAACGCCATAGTACAGACTCAGCATCTCCTTACTGTAACACTGTATCATGGGAGGGAAGCACATTCGATTATTGGTGCAACGACCTCGATATCTCTACAGCACAAAGCGCCGCTCTCACCTACAAGGGCCAAACATCACGAGATTTCGGCACCATTAATGAGCGAGACTACAGCTCTCTACTTTCTCAAATGACGGAGGCGCAAACTGAACGCAGTGTCAATGCCGAAGCGACAGGAACAGCAACATCCCAATCTGCCGCTATCGAGACAAACAAAGATAGTGGCAGCTCAGGAACTCCGGTAGGCGCAATCGCTGGAGGAACAGTTGGCGGTGCAGCAGCACTCGCTCTCATAGGCGTGGCAGTGTTCTTCTTCCTCCGCCGAAGAAAGAAGAGCAAAGCTTCAAGTTCATCGAACTACCAACAAGCACCTGGAGGTGACAAAACGGGATGGAACCAGCAGCAGCAACAGCAACAGGGTGGCTACTACTACGATCCAAATTCACCGTCCACGGGTTATGATGGAAGCCCAAGTGGTCAGTATGGATATCAACAAGCTGGAGGCTATCCTGCTGGGCATCAACAGCCTGCTATTCATGAAGCGGGTGGTGAGGCCGTGGGGAGCATCCCTCAAGAGCTTCCAGATAGTGGACCTGGGGAAAAGAAGCCGGCAGAGCTTGCTTGAGTGTTTGGATTCAGCGTTGTAGAGGCTCGAGTTTTGTGCCTACTGTAAGCTGAGACGGTTCAGTCCTTATATCTTAATCTGTAAATGTCCTCTTCATTATCTTGACGTCACGAGAATACGTTATGCAAACAGATCCACTATCAGGGCTGAATGCAACCACAGCCTTGATACTTGCTGCGAAACAATGGGAAACGAGTAGAGACGATTATATCAAAGATACTCCATAATAATTTGCTTCAATTTTTTCATCACAAGCAGAGTGGATTTGACGTTGAATAATTGTTTTTTTTATTTTTTTTATGATGTTGATTTAGATGCCCCATTTCTATGCCAACTACGTCATGGCCTGACCAAACTTTATTATTTGAGTGCTTAAGTTATAGGTAACTTATGCGCTCGCTCACTCGCTAGCATGCGAACTCATGCCTAAACCAGACCAGACCAGACCGACCATCTTCAAGCTTAACCCAACTCAATCAATTCATGCAAATACTATAACTCGCGTACATCAATCAATTTAGCGGGCCCCCCCTACGTCGGACATCGGACATCACATTCATACCCTATCATGTCCTCTAAATGGACCTTCAAGGCCCAACCTGGCATCTTTGTTGAACTCGCTGACATTGCCCATGAATATCCTGGAGAAAAAGTCACGACGCAACCAAATCTGGGCCTCATTCCAGATCAGAAATACCCTTCTGATGATCCAGATGCACCCGATCAAAGGGACTGGGCTCGTCTCGCGGCATATGTGAGATGGCTCAATGAGAATAGCTCCGACAATGTCTCATACAAAGTCTTGTACCTCACGCGACATGGCCTTGGGGTACACAATAAGATGCACGCCCAAGTAGGCTCCGAAGCGTGGAATGTATGTATTATCGTTTGAGCCATATCAATATTGCTTCATTTACTAACATGAGAAGACAAGAGTGTCATTCCAAAATGGGGACGGCGAAGAAACCTGGTTTGACGCGTTTCTCACCGAAGTCGGTGAAAAGCAAGCTCATGATCTCAACTCCTTCTGGACCGATCTCATCGAAAAGCAAGGCGCACCACAGCCCAAAATCTTCTACACAAGCCCTCTAGCGAGATGTCTTCAGACAACGGACATCGTCTTCTCACCACTCATGACCTCACAATCACCGCCCCAACAACCCATCGTCAAAGAACTCCTCAGAGAGCGCATCACTCGCCACACCTGCGACTACAGGAGGGATCGCACATGGATAGCCCAAAACTATCCCAGCTACAAGATCGAAGATGGGTTCGAGGAGGAGGACCAGTTCACCAACAGAGTTGAGCCTGAGACTGACGAGGAGCATGTTGTGAGGAAACAGAGGGCTTTGGAGGATATCTTTAATGAGACGGCCAAAGACGACGACTTTATATCGTTGACAGTCCACTCGTACGCGATCCGAGCGATTCAGGCCGCCGTGGGAAGTGGTGTTTGTCGGACACGTGAAGGGACAAGCATCGCGATATTTGTCAGGGGCGAGAAGGACGGAGAGGCAGATGGCCCAGAGCTGCACATGAATGATTATGGGTCTGCAGATCCTGCGGGCGTGAGCTCGTTGAGAAGATTCTCCATGTGATGGACGTTAAGAATAGATGGGTTAGGCACATGATATACCGTTGTATCAAAAACATAATGTAACGATGATGAGTACTAAGTTATCTACCTACTAGATCGGCGATACGGAGTGCTTTTTCTACTTTCAAGATCATCACCTCTAAAGTCTAGATATCCGAGGTGCCTTTATTACTAAAACTAGGTACCTAGGTAGAGCGGGTGCTGTTTTGAAGGCTTTCTACGTTCCTTCTATTGCCATATTTCAAAGGTCGGATAACCCAGAGCAATCTACCTAAGTACCTACCTAGGTATGGGACGTCTACCTACCTACTACCTACCTAATTTGGTAAGATCTCAAGCCTTTCACCGATGGAAAGAGATACCAGTTATCATAGATCTACCTAGGTAGGTATCTACCCAGAGTGCTTCTTTTGGTAGGCGTTACCTGCACCCTAAGGCTTTCCTCTCCTAAATGGTTTCCAGGCAGTTTGGGCGCCATATTTCTGCGAAACCGAGAGAAGGAGACAGTTGACCAGGTGCATTATTACCGAGAGTGGAAGCTAAGGTCTGGAAGACTTCTCTACTTTGGGCGGAATCGTGAAGGGACTTTTTTATAAGCGAGGTCAGGGCGCAAAGAAAAGATGATAGATGCATGTCTTTATGAGAAAATGAGGCTTCAACGAATCATTATTCGCAGAAATAATTAGCACAAGAGCTCGTTCGACAATAAAATCTAAAGTCAAAGAATTAAAAATTAAAAGGGCCACGGGAATGGCATTGGCTGCTATGATGAAGTCCTGTCTCCCTTGCGCTGTCTCATGAACCCAAAACGCCCCTTTTCGACTCACTATTTATACGTAACAACATATTATTGTCGAGTGGCCATTGTTATATAGAAGATGTGCTGTTGAGCCATGCTTACCACCACTTGAATGTACCACTGGCCCATGTCTTCCATGGACCGCGCCTGGAAGGAATCTTGTTTTCAGGGACAGAGATCTCGTAACCATCATCGACATCCTTGGAGACACTCTTGGAGGTCCACGAGTTGTCATCGGTCTGGAGCCACTTGTTGAATCGGCCCTTGTCCTTGTGGCGGTAGGACTCGACGGGTTGAGGGAGGACCTTTGTGCACTCGGTGAGGCTGTTGATATTGTTGACGCCCAAGAGACTGAGACGGACATAGGCGCGGGCATAGTCCTGGGAAAAGTCAGTGCTTGCTTCACGAAATATTTTTGAACAATACTCACCACGTTCCAGGCGGCTTGGCCAGTGCTGCCGCTGGCAAAGGCCTCAAAGGCAGGTTGGGTAAGGGGGTGGTTGGCGAGTGCCACATCACTGGGGAACTTGTAGACACGCTTGGGGGCGTTCTGGTCAATGGTTTGCTGGTAGAAGAGAATATCCCAGACACCGGGAGTGCTGTCCTGAGGATCGCCATCACGATCAATGTTGGTGTGATGCTGCTGAGAGGTTGTGTGCGCGCCGATAAGAGCAACAAGGTCATCGGGGCCAATTGTCTTGTCCTTGAAGAGGTTGATCAGAGTGAGAGCATCAGAGTGAACGCTAGGCAGAAGACCGCCGAGGTTGGCCTTGGTGCTATCCTTGCGTCCAACGAAAGAGCGGACACGGGGGCCGAGAGGACAGGTAACGGCAGCAATGTTGGAGCCCATTTGGATCAGATCAGCCATGGTGACCTGGGCGAAACCATACTGTGTGTGGTACTTGTCGTAGATGGTCTGGTAGTACTCGCCGATCTGCTGAAGACCCATGTTCTCACCACGGGTGAGCTCGTTGGAGAGAATGATGGAGCCATCGGCACCACCGCCTTGGGAAGCGGTCTTGAGAGACCAGGTACCGGCATCGTGGAAGCCAATGCGCACAGCATATCGAGCCCATCGTGTGCAACGGCCAGCCTCGCCCCGGAACTTGTCCTCGAGTTCGTTGGAGATGTATTGCCAGACACAGCAGGTATCACGCTTGCAACGTTGAGAGTTCATGGAAGGGCAGCCAAAGTAGCGCTCGCGGCTGGTGGGGTTACCATTGCCTTGGAGGATCTTCTTGATGTCACTGCCGACCGAAGTGAGGGACTTGTCGCTGAGGGTGGCAAGGTCGCCGATGAGGGAGTGGGCATCGAAGCTGTCTCCGGACCAGCCACTGCCACTGCCACTGTTGCTGCCGCTGCCACTACCTCCACTACTCTGGCCGGGCCATGAGCTAGATCCTCCTCCATTTCCACTGCTCTGTCCAGGCCAGGAGCTTGAACCGCCACTGTTGGTCTGTCCAGGCCAAGAACTGGAACCACCTCCATTGCCATTGCTTTGGCCAGGCCAGGAGCTTGAACCGCCGCCGTTGCCTTGTCCTGGCCACTTGTTTCCACCCCATCCACTGCCCCAGCTACGAGCAGCAATTCGTTCGATCTCCTTGATGGTCTCACCCATGCCAGGGTGAGCAGCAGCCTCTGGGATAGGCGCAGCAGCCAGAGCAGCTGCAATGAGAACGGTAAACTTCATAGTTGCGATGAAAGATAGTTCGATGGTAGTGAGAAATATTAATGAGTGATTCAAGTTTGGATAAAAGAGTGAATGGTGCTTCTAGCGAGTGTATGAGAAGCAGATTAAGAACGAGTGTGTAATGAAAAGAATGACAGGAGAAATGAACGTAGAGTGATGGTAGCTCACCTCTTACAGAACTCAGCAGACAGGAGGGGAGCATCATGTATATATATATATGCCAGAGGCCTCTATAGTCTCCATTGCCTCTATCAAGTCGCTTTGACCAGACGCCGAGAACTCTCGGCACGATAATTCCAGGCCCCTGGTCTCCCCATAGAGCTTTCTTTCTAGCCCTGAGACTATGAAGGGCTCGATCGAGAAACAAAAACCAACAAAGGACGCTTAAATAAACCCTGCAGTTCATCAACGGGACGGCATGTGTCTAGAACTCCTCAATATGGGGTCCCCTGTAGATATGACCGTCAGTGCGTAGTAATTGCTCACACACCACTCGACGTTGTAATCTCTTCCCGGTGAGAAGCTGACTTGTCTCTTTTCTCTGCATCTAATTAGAGAAAACATCTTTGCAGTGTCAGTAGTGTCGATGCCACGGTCGTATGTGGATCCTCGGGTGCGTGGAGAGCGTTGAGGCGTTGACGCAGGACGCCTCGTCCCATTAAACAATGGTCTAAAAGTTTCACGTCGGCTGAACCACTTGGTTTTCTTGCGAGACTATCGGAAACCGGATGGGCCAAATCTCTTGGTAGCGGGTTTAGGACGGATGAGCCCGAGATTGTATGTCACCAGATGGGCTTGGTAGTGTAATGCCACGCTCATCTGTCAAATGTAGGGAACGTTGACCATTGTGACGAGAGCTTTACATCGAGGTCTCGAGTTATTGTTCTCTCTCTCTCACCGTTGAATCCAACGTT